CTCTTCCCCCTTACCCTTGGCCACCTTCTCCTGGACCCTGCCCTGCTCTCAGCCAGAGTGAAGGACCCGGCCTGGGAGTCTGTGAGAGCCTCGGTGGTTCCACTGTGAAGCCATACGAACAGGACGGCCTTCAGCCCCAGCGTGCGCCTGGAGGCCCTCTGGGGCCCCACGGAGGTGCTGTTGGTATTTCGCTGGCAACGTGAACTCTCGGGTCCAGGAGAGGCCTTTCAGAGATGCCTGACACCACCCCGTCCCCTTCCTCCTCTTTCAGAAGAGGGTGAGAGATGAAATGAAAGCCATGGGACTCTCAGAGGCTATCCAGTCTCTTCTGGGTTAGGGAAGCGCTTACCAAATGGGGTTTTTTAATAAAAACAAATGCCACACACTGACTCGCCTGTTTTCCCGCCAGCCTGGTGAGCAAAGGTTGCTGCGGGAGCTTAGGCCCTGCGTGCCCCGCTCCTGGGCAAGCAAGCTAAGTTCTGGTCTCCTTGCCACGGGGTTGTGGTCTCTGCCCCCTGTGAGTCCTCCTTCCCTCTGAGTGTTCCTGTCAGTCACCACCTACTGTCCTGAGCCTTCCTTGCCTGTTAGCTCTCCACTGCTGGGGAAGATGGAGGAACAGCTGTTTTCACGCCCTGGAGTCCTGATCCGTATCTGTTTAGCATTCATTTATTTTTGGCACCAGGGACTGAACTCAGGAGCACTTTACCACTGAGCTACATCACCAGCCCTTTTTATTTTTCAGTTGTTGATGGACCTTTATTTATTTTTAGAATTTATTTATATGCAGTGCTGAGACAAACCCAGTGCTGCTTTATGAGGCAAGTACTCTGCCACCGAGCCACAACCCCAACCCTGTTTTTTTATTTTGAAAGTGTCTCTAAGTCATGGAGGCTGGCCTTGAACTTGAGATCCTCCTGCCTCAGTCTCCTGAGTTGTTGAGATTATAGGCGTGCATGACCACCCACAACCAGTTTGTTGATCATTTTTTAAAAAGCTCTCTCTTGTGCCTATTTCTAGCCCATTCTCATATTTAAGAACTAGCTTTTTTTTTTTTTTTTTTTTGGTACTGGGGATTGAATTCACGGGCACTTTACCACTGAGCCATATCCCAAGTCCTTTTCTTTCTTCTTTTATTTTATTTTGAGACGGGGTCTTGCTAAGTTACTTAAGGCCTCACTAAATTGCTGAACTTTGAACTTGCAATCCTCCTGTCTCAGCCTCCTCTGTTGCTGGGAATCACAGGCATATGCCACTGTACCTGGCCAAGAACTAGCTTTTCTTGAGTTTAAATTTATTTTAATGCCTCTGTGCTTTGAACTCGGGCCGGGAAGAAGGGCTGGGTCCCCTGACTTGGGCCCTCAGCATGGCTTATGGAAAGGCAGTGGCTTTGGCTGCAATAACAGCAAGGAGAAGCCACTGTAAGCTGACTCTGTCCAACCCAGGAATGTCGTGGTCCGGAACAGCCTCCCAGGCAGGAGGGAAGCCCAACAAACACCCGCTTTGTTCCTGCCACCAAGTTTCCCCGTTTAGATTCTGCTCCCCCTGGCTCCCCTGCCCAACTGGTTTAACCTTTCCTTTGCCCAGAACTGGGAGCCTCTGGGCCCCTGGAAGATGAAAAGGACATGGAGACAACGGGACGCTCCAAATGGAGTAGCCCTGGGCCAGCTCACATCCCTCTTTCAGGGGCTGCGGCTTGGACACCCCAGGACCGGCCAGGTCAGAGGGCAAGAAGGTTGTGTTTGCTTTTGTTCATTGTGTTCCTGGTGGAAACCTGGAATGCTCAGAAGATTCCGGTAAAAGGGGAAGTGGGTCAGGCTCAGGATGAAAACAGGTGTGGGCAAGGGCAGGTGAGCTACTTTGCTGTATGTTGGCTTGCTCTCTAGGACTCTGAAATGTCTGTTTCTGGAGGAGGCAGAACCCATTCTTCCACTTGCGCTCTCCACTGGAAACCTGTGGTTCAGCCTATGAGCTAACCTATAGGAGGAGGGGTCCTGTGTTAGGGAATGGGTGAACTTCATAACACTCCAAGGGAATAAGAGATTCTGATCTTGCAGGTACTCCTTTTTCAAAAGCTGGGGAGACTTGTCTATCCTACCTTGTGTCCTGGCACGTTACAGGGAAGACTAGACGGGAATCCAGGAACCCGCAGATGACAAAAGAAGCATTGTGAAGGCACAGGCACCTTGAAAAGCAGCCAAAATCAGATACTTCATTTCTTGAGAGTTTCTTGGAGTCAGGATGGAATTTGAACCTCTCCTAAGTAGTGATGTTGGGGAATGTAAGTTTCTCCAATCTATGGACGGAGACTTAGCTGGAATAGTTGGCTTTAGGATTGAGCGTTCTTGACTTCTCAAGGTAATCATCTAATGGGAGGACAAGTGGCAGGCTGCACTCCTGTTCACTAATCAAAAAGCACCCTAGGGTTGTGCCACTGTGGCGCGTGCCTGTCCTGTCGATCCAGCAACTCAGGAGGCTGAGGCCAGAGTATTGAAAGTTTGAGGACAACCTTGGCAACTTAATGAGACCCTGTCTCAAAATAAAAAATCAAATGGGCTGAGGAGGTAGCTCAGTGGTAAAGCACTCCTAGGTTCAATCTTTAGTACCAAGAAGGAAAAAAAAAAAAAAAAAAACAGCAAGCCACTCCAGGAAGGTGGTGTGAACTCTGATCCTGAGATTGCACACAGATTTGTGAGGGAGAGGGAAAAGTGCACACTGATCCCACATCCTTCCTAGAGAATGGGTACTCACACTGAGGCTCCTCCCTCAAAGGCAATACAGATAGTAACCCCAGCTGCCAGCGCGTTCCAGGTCCCCTCCACCCTCCGCAGACCAGCCCTTTAGCCCTCCTACATCGTCCACACTTTGAACCGGCATGGACTCGCCCACACACCCAGCCCCGTACCAGGAGGAGCAAGTGCTTTGATTTCCGCCCCCCTCCGGTACTAGGCCTTCAGACTGTACCTGGAGAGAGTGGATAGGAAACGTGTCCGAGAATGAATTTCTACCCACCTGGGAGTAGAGGAGTAATTCAGTGAAAGGATGGAAAGTGGTTCAGGGTTGACCCCTTCAGAGAGCAGCCGGGGAGGCAGCAATGACCACAGGGTCAGGAGCACTGGATCCCTGCTCCTCACCAACCATCCACTGGCTGTGTGACCGCAGGTAATCACCACCCGCCTCTCAGAGCCTCTTTCCTCATCTCGACAATCACAGGGTTGTTTAACGAGAGGGTTTCTGAAGACCTTTCACCAAGAAGATAGCATAGGCCTTTATTTATTTATTGATACGGGGGTTGAACCTAGGGACCCTTACCACTGAGCCACATCCCCAGCCCTTCTCATTTTATATTTTGAGTCAGGGTCTCACTAAGTTGCTTAGGACCTTGGTACCGAGGCTGGCCTCTAACTTGTCCTCTTGCCTCAGCCTCTTGAGTGTGAGATTAGTCATGTACCACTGTTCCTGCTTCTGTGTTCTTATGTAGTAAGAAACAAATACTGTCTGGGCGGGTTTGTAGCTCAGTGGCAGAGCACTTACCTAGCCTGTGTGGAGTCCCAGGTCAATGTCCAGCTTCACAAATAAAGCAAACAAACAAATAACACAGTAAAGCCGGCATGGTGGTGCATGCCTATAATCCCAGCTGATTGGGAGGCTGAGGCAGGAGAATCGTGAGTTCAAAGCCAGACTCAGCAAAAAAGGGAGGGGCTAAGCAATTTAGTGAGACCCTGTCTCTAAATAAGATACAAAATAGGGCTGGGGATGTGGCTCAGGGGTTGAGTGCCCCTGAATTCAATCCCAGGTACCAAAACAACAACAACAACAACACAGTAACTCTGTCATGATGTGGTTGGGCCAGGCCAGGAAGATACAAGTTCTACATCTGTCATTTCCCTCTTACCTAGAACAAGAATTTTAGAGCAAGGATGAACCATAGATCACCCAACTTCATCCTGTCATTTAGTAGATGAGGAAAGACAAAGAAAAGTGGCTTATCCAAGGTCACCAGCAAGTGACAGCTGGCATATTTGAGTTGTACAGATCCAGCATTTGTGTTCCACCATTTCTCATTTAACAATCTCGTTTACAGATGAGGGGATGAGCTGATAGATGACTCTTCAAAGTCCCCATAATGAGTTGGCAGAGCCAGCTAACATCTCCCAACTCCAACAAACCCTTCCCATTAGACCTGGGGCCCATCAGGGAGGGGGCAGCTCACTACCTCGAAAAGTCCCATGTCTGCCCAAGCCGTCCTGTGCTCTGGGGGAAGACATGAGGGGTGAGTCAGCCACTCACCCCCGCTGTTATCAGGGAGAGGGGTGGAGAGCTGATCAAATATCCTGCTGCCTGGTATCCACAGCAAGCCGAGTTGCTTGGTCACCCCTGTTCCTGTTGGCCCGCCCCAGATGTGGCTACCCTTGCAATCACTCCTCCCTGCACTTTCATTAAAAAAAAAAAAAAAAAAATTTCCTCCTTCACTTCTATAACCTGCCTCTTAAAGGGACCAACAAGCACTTTTGAAGCCAATTTTTTTGCTTGTGTGTTTGCGGGGGAACACAGGGGTGCTCTACCTGTGCTCTATCCCCAGCCCTTTTTACTTTTTATTTTGAGATAGGATCTCATTAAGTTGCCCAGACTGATCTTGAACTTGGGATCCCCCTGCCCAGGCCGCCTGCCCGAGTAGCTGAGATTGCAGGTGTGGCCAGTGGGCCCAGCTCTTTTTCTGAAATATGCCCTAACCCCCTCCCTAGCTTCTCCCTGTCCCTTTTGGAAGGAGGGTGGAAGTTCCCCCTGATGGCAGGCTCCCACATCCTTTCCCCTTCTGGTGACCTCAGCTTGGTTTCCTGCACCTGTTTCCATGGGAGTCTGATTCCTGGGGCCGCCCTTTTTCAGGGAACGTTGGGGACAGGGCATTGAAGGGGTTAAAGTCCTGGTTACAGCACCATGTAGGGTGTTTGGAGTAGGGCGGGGAAGGGAAGGGCTAGGGGAGTTGAAGAGGCAGCTGGTCTGGACTGGAATGAGTCCCCCCTGTCTCCTATGCAACCTTCTGGACCATGAACAGTTCCCTTAGCAGAAACAAGACCAAGGCGCCCCCATGAAGGCCCCGGACTGAAAGCAGGACTTTCTTATATTGAAGTCACCAACTGAGGGCAGGAACAGGTGCCCCGTCTTTGGGATAGCTCCCAGTCCTGGTGAGTTTCCTTCTTCCCTCTCCTGTGTCCTTCCAGGATGAATGGGCATTCTCCCGGAAGCAGAGATGTCCAGGAATCCCTTAGTATCCCAGGAAGTGGAGAACAATCGCTCCTCCAACCAACCTCCTGCATTCAGCTCTCATTTTTCATTAGGGGGTAGTGTGCGTGCGTGCCTGTGTGTGTGTGTGTGTGTGTGTGTGTAGGGAAACAGTCACAATAATGGTCAATGGTTAATTAACACAAATTGTGCTGCAAATGATGCTAAATTATATATATATATATAATCTCTGTAATCCTATGGGGTTGGCATACCCAATCCCTATATTAATAAAAGGCTTAGACAAGTTAAATAACTAACCCATGTCAATTAAGAGGTAAACTGTAGAACTGAGATTCAGACTCATCTGACATCAGTCCATAAGAGTGTCTTTTGGTCTCTTTTTCTTACTTGAGATATGGACACTGAGAATGGCTCTGGAATCTTAAAACCTCAATATTCTAGTTCACCCAGGGTCCCCTTCCTCTTGTGCCTAACATCATTCCTTTTATGATGGGGGGTTAATTGTGAGATTGAAAGGGCCACTAACTCATACCTGAGAGCCAGGGGCTTCCAGATTCCAGATTATCTCATCCAAATTAGGGGTTCCTTGTTCCACTGACTTTCTTCAGCTGTTTCCCGGGATCTGACAGGTTAATTCCCTGGGTCAGAGGGCCAAGTCTTCTCAGGTGTGTCCCTCTGAATCTCAGACCCTCTAGTGCCCCACCCTTCTGGCACAGCTCTCAAAGTGCATGCCAGGAAACCAGCAGGAGGTAGAAGAAGACTGGCTGGTCTTAGCCCTTTTCTTCCCTGTCCCCCATATATCATGGGCTAGTCTGGGTCTTAAGGCCCTGGTAGAATAAGCATTCAGCCACAGGCCCAGGAGAAAGAAAGAGGATAAGTGTCCCTAAATTCAATTTTCAAATCAATTAAAAACAAAAAACATCCTGCATAGTGGCACACACCTGTAATCCTAACTACTTATGGAGGTTGAGGCAGGAGGATCACAAGTTCAAGGCCAGCTTGGGCAATTTAGTGAGATCTTGTCTCAAAATAAAAAAAAGAAAAAGGGCTGGGGATATAGCTCGGTGGTAGAACATGCTGGAAAACCCTGGGTTCAATCCCCAGTAATGCAAAAACAAAAACCCAACAATAATACAAAGCAGTCAGATTATCAACTGACTCATGCACCTAGTATATCATAGAGACGGTGGTGACTGAAGTGTTTGAGATGCCTGTTTGCTGACACAGTAGAAGGCCTGTGGTTAGATTAGACCCGACTGTCTTTCCAGCTTTGAACTTCTAGAATTTACTAATAATAAAGTCCATAGCTCTGCCCTATGGGCCCTGGATGTAGGAGGGTACTATCAAGAGTCAACCAGAGGGCTGGGGCTGGGGCTCAGTGGCAGAGCACTTGCCTAGCATGTGTGAGGCACTGAGTTCAATTCTTAGCACTACATAAAATAAATAAATAAATAAAAATAAAGGTATCGTGACCATCTACAACTATAAAAATATAAAATAAAAAAGAGAGCTCGGAAGCTGATCTGGCTAGATGGCTCTTGCCCATACTAGCCCCTGCCCGACCTCTGTAGTCATGTGTAGACCTTTCTGGGTCCTCGTCTCAGTGCCTATCAGTTCATGCTGCAGTAGTGTGCGATGAATGAACCAAGCCTCCACATCCCTTGCCTTTCCTTTTGGAGACTGAACTGTTCTCTGGCAGTTGATGGGAAAGTCAGAGAAAGAGAACATTTCCAGGACACCACTGCTCAACCAAGGAAGGCTGCCATGGATGGGGGTCCAGGGTGTAGGAGGAGGAAGGGACTGCTGTCAAGGGGCCTCCTTCACCTAGGGCTAAAAGAAGCTCTGCTCTAACCCTCTTTGTGGGGTGCTGTGGGATTAATGGTTTTCTATGGGAAAAGAAAGGGTAGGTTAAATTTTGAACCATCAAAGGGTTTCCTATGACCCTGTGCCCCCAGGCCAGGAGATCTGGAGGAGAAGCCAGTAGACAATGTCATCTGGCCTCTCCCTTCCTTCCCAGTCTTTATTATCTGGTTCTTTCAGATCTGCTCCTTTATTGCCCCTTGGGGAGATTTAGGAGCCTGAAGTCACATGCAGGAAGCCTCCCAGGCTTCCAAAGTGGCAGCCATCAGTCCCCCGTGTTTGGTTGCTATTGGCAGTTCTTACCCCCAGTGTTTGCTGGCAGCAAACAAAACCAGAGCCCTGCCCACCCCATCACCTCATCACATTGCTAAGATAAGAGAGGGGACAGAAAGGGCAAATTTAACTTCTTTGGTACCCCCAGCTAATTTCTTTTGGAAGCCTGCTGCCTTTCTTTGGCTGGGGTCAAGGAGGTGGCTTGAGAAGTGAATGACAATATCAGCTGGATTTATTTCCAAGCTAGTCACTTGCTTTCTTTGGGAGCTTATTTTCTGGTTTCAGCAAAGAACTCAGTGTGTGTGTGTGTGGGGGGGGGGCTGGGGTTGTGGCTCAGTGGTAGAGCATGTGCCTAGCATGTGTGAGGCTCTGGGTTCGATTCTCAGCACCACATATAAATAAATAAAATAAAGGTCCATCACAAATATATATATATATATATATATATATATATATATATATATATATATATATATAAAAGAAGAAGAAGAACTCAGTGTGGTGGATCAGCTTTGAAAGTTCATCTCCACCTTCAATCGAGCAGTGTGGTCTTGAGCTAGCAACTTAAGCTCAGGGGATTCCTTATAAAATAGGAAGAATAATGTCTATTTCAAGCAATGGTTGTAATGACCACACAGGCTGGATGTGGACACTCACGGGTTAAACCTCTTTCCCTGTGGGCTCCAGAGGATATTTAGGAAATGGATATGTTGAGATCCTCATGTCCCCTCCTCCCCTAAATTTTTGCAGAATGACTAGTTGGTATGCTGTGAACCTTAATGTCCCTCTTTGGTCTCTTTGGTCCTTCTTGAGATTTTGAAACCCAGTTGCTCTCTATCAGGAGTCTGCAAACTTTCTGTAAATACCCTGAAAAAAATACTTTAGGCTTTGTGGGGGCTGGAGATGTGGCTCAAGCGGTAGCGCGCTCGCCTGGCATGCGTGCGGCCCGGGTTCGATCCTCTGCACCACATACAAAGATGTTGTGTCCGCCAAATACTAAAAAATAAATATTAAAAAAAAAAAAGGCTTTGTGGGCCATATGGTCTCTGTCACAACTATCAGCTTTGCTATCTATCTTAATGCAAAAATAGCCAGAGACAATACATGAAAGAAGGAGCATGGCTGTGTTGGGGGGAAAAACTTTATGGGTGCTGGAATTTGAATTTCTTATAGTTTGTATGTGTCTCAAAGTATTCATTTCTGTTATTTTTTCCTCAACTCTTTAAAAAAAAGATAGCAAACAGCCAGGCATGCTGATATACTCCTATTGTTCCAGCCACTTGGGAGGCTGAGGCAAGATTGCAAGTTCAAGGCCAGCCTGGGCAACTTAGCAAGACCCTGCCTGGTGGGTGGGAGGAGGGAAAGCTGAAGATGAAGCTCAGTGGTAGAGGGCCCCTGGGTTCAATCCCCAGAACAGCAAAAAAAAAAAAAAAAAAAAAGACAGGTCTGGCTCACAGGCTATAGTTTGCCAACTTCTGCTCTAAATTACCTGAAGTTAATCTGTTCCTCCCTTCTCTTTGGAGGGTTGGTTCATCAGGGTCTCAAAGGACAGAAAAGCTATTGCTCTTCTTGCCATGGTTGCTGCTGTGCACATTTATCCATTAGATGCTGTTTGTAACTAGTCCCCACTGCAGTATGTAAATGTCACTGTGGGTTATTTTCTCCCCACCCCTCTCTCAAGATAAAACAGTAGAACACCATCATATGCTGCCTATTTCTTCTCTGTCTTAAATTGTTCTCTCTAGCTCCCTATTTCAACATGCTTTGCCTTCTCTCTATCTCTAAGTAACAACAATAGTATATTATTAATAGCATAATATTAGTTGCATTGCACAAATTATCATCAAATCTATCAACAACCTTACAAGGTAATAACCTTATTATTATTCTCTGTTTATAGTCTCATACATGATTCTGAGGCTCAAAAAGCTAAGTAAGGGGGGCACAGTGGCACACACCTGTAGTCGCAGCAACTTGGAAGGCTGAAGCAGGAGGATCACGAGTTCAAAGCCAGTCTCAGCAACTTAGCAAGGCCCTAAGCAATTTCACAGGGCCCTAAGCAACTTAGCAAGACCGTCTTTAAATAAAATATCAAAAGCGGTGGGTATGTAGCTCATGGTTGAGTACTCCTGGGTTCAATTCCCAGTACCAAAAAAAAACAAAAACTAAGCAAGTTCCCAAGGTCATGTGGCTTACGATTATGAAAGCAGCAGAACTTGCAAAACTAACAAACCTCTTTTTTTTTTTTTTTTCCTTTTTCTTGGTACTGGGGATTGAACCCAGGAGTGTTCTACCACTGAACCATATCTCCAGCCCTTTTATTTTTAATTTTGAGACAAGATCTCCCTAAGTTGCTGAGACTGCCCTCAAACTTGCAATCCTCCTCCTTCAGCCTCCCAAGTCACTGGGATTACTGGCATGTACCACCACACCTGGCAAAACAAACAGTCTTTAAAGCCATTATTACACCCTAAAGAAATTATGCTCTCAAAGTTTTTAAACAACAGATGTCTCTTTCTATTGCAGTATTATAAGTTTTCATCCTATGACCCAGCAGAGTGTGCAACAAGTCATTGATGACTAGTGCAATCAGTGAAGATCATACACTCACAGGAGGGGACCAGAGACACTGATGGTCGGTGATGGTAGGGAGACAGGAAAATAAGCCCCTTCCTGCCCCCTCCCCCAACTCAAGCGTCTGATCCCAGAACTATTTCAGAATCTCCTATCTCTCTGCTCAGCGGAAACAGTGATGTGACAAGATGTGATCTCATACAGAAGCTAAAAAAAGCCGTTCTATGAGACTCAGTCCTGGCTACTCCCTTGCACCATTTCCTGAGCTCAGGAGGCTTGGCAAAGTGGGAGGTGGGGAGAGACCTGATGGATGGGAGAAGGGAAAAGACCCAATGGTGGAATATTCACTAGGAAAAGAGGAACACGGGCTGAAGCAGGAATTTCAGAAAAGAGAGGAGGGAAATCTCTGGGAGGTCGTTCAGGAAAACTTGCCAAGCCTCATCTCTTTGAAGAAAAGAATAAAAATTATTGGTGTGTTAGCCTGGGAGGAAGTGAAGGTTAGAAAGCAGGAAAAACTCTTGAGAAATGAAATGAGGCCGAGAGAGGAAAGCCGTCCAACAGATTCATTTTCACAGACGGCAGAGACATGAATGAAATGCTGGGGAAAGGGTGGATCTTTGAGTAAAGGGTTGGACTCCAGTTGATACGCTCTGGAAGAAGACAGGAGGTACACAAAGATCTCAAGCTGAGCGGGCGCAGTGGCGTGTGCCTGTAACCCCAGAGGCTTGGGAGGCTGAGGCAGGAGGATTCTGAGTTCAAAGCCAGTCTCAGTGAAAGTGAGGTGCTAAGCAACTCAGTGAGACTCTGTCTCTAAATAAATACAAAATAGGGCTGGGGATGTGGCTCAGTGGTCCCAGTTCCCCCCCCCATCAAAAAAAAAAAAATATATATATATCTCAAGACTAGCAGCAGGGGTGGAGGCGGGAGGGGGGGTAGCTGAGTGGTCGAGAACTTTCTAGTGTGCCCTAGACCCTGGGTTTGCTCTCCAGCACTGGGGGCTGGGGATCAGCAGCGTCTGTCAGCAGGGCTGGGGTTGCAGGGTACTTTCCCTTCTTCCTCTAGCAACACATTTTCCAGAAGAAGTTACCAGGTATTAAACTCAGGGGAGCTTCACCACTGAGCCACATCCCCAGCCCTTTTTTATTTTTTATTTTGAGTCAGGGTCTTGCTAAATTGCTTAGGGCCTCCCTAAATTGCTGAGGTGGCCTTTGAACTCATGACCCTCCCGCCTCAGCCTCCCAGGCCTATCACAGGTGTGCGCCTCCACGCCCAGCTCCTTCACTACATTTCACTCTTCTTGCCAAAGTCGATCCTGCAAGTACAGATGGGAGGTAGAGGCTGAGTAAAGTCACTGGATATCAGAGCCCCAAGATCCTCCTGGTTCCTTTCCATTTCTGCCCTCTTTCTGGCCCGTGTTCCTCTTTTCCTAGTGCACATTTCTCATGCCTACTCTTCTCCCCACCCGTACTTCTCACAGTGCTGCTTGGCCCCTGGATTGCATCTCAGAGGCTGCTGGTTGTCGGGGACCTTGCCCTGGTCCTCAGGCTCCATCCTGCACCCTGCAGATCTGACCGTCCGGATTACACCCAGAACTCCTGATGGCACAGAGCCAGGTGCATAAAGGAGAAGGGAGAGGATTTCAGCGGGGGACTGGCTGAGGAATCCCCCAACACTGCTCCCAGATAGGACAGCATGTGGGGCACAGGGCCCAGGCCAGTCTCCTCAGCCTCTCCTTTCTCTCTTTCCACCACACACAGGGGAGCAGAATGCCACCTGCAGAGACTGAGCCCCCGTCTCCCTTCCACTCCCGGGTGCAGGGGGAGCAGTGGACAGATTGCAGCAAGGAGGGGGAAGCAGATTGAAGGACCACCTTCCCATAACCTGGACTTTTCCTGGGGTGGTTATGACCATTTAGAGAAGGCCTGGGAAGAAAGTTCTGACCCACAACGTCCTGGTCCTTCTGTGCACTTCAACATCTGAGTAGCTAGGGGTGGTCCCAGGAGAAAGGGTGCCTGGGAGACTCCTTCCAACAGAAGGGCCAGTACATGGTACTTCCCTTCTGCCCCTCTACCACCTTGGTACTCTGGAATTTGGTATTTCTTTCTGGAGTGGGACTTATTTTCAACTCAAGAGCACCTGAGTGTCCTTCCTCTGAGACACTCCAAGGTGAGCCCTGGTACCAGCCAGGATGTTTGGGTGTTGAGAACAATGCTCCTTTGGGATTGGGAGAGAGGCCAGGAGATGAGGTTGATGTGGCTGATGCTTGGAGCCCTTCTCTCTGTGACACGGGGACAGGTCTTACTCCTCACATGATCAGGGTCTTAGAAGAAATCATAATTCTTTCATTTATGAACCTGTTTTCCCTGTTAATTTATCAGTGCAGAATCCTCTCCCCCCCACCCCCCCGGCCACATTCTAACCCCTCTGTCCCTCTAGGCACAGCTCAAAAACTGTCTGCTTACTTCTGCTTCCCTGTTTGATTCTCTCAACTGGTAACATGTGCTCACTCCTTTGATAACCCAAAGTCTTTGTGTGTGTATGCGTGTGTGCATGTGTGCGTGCGTGTGTGTGTGTGTGTGTGTGTGAGAGAGAGAGAGAGAGAGAGAGAGAGAGAAAGATACTGGGAATTGAACCCAGGGACACTCTACCTCTAAGCTATCTCCCCAGCCCTTTTCTTTTTTCTATTTTATTATTATTATTTTTATTTGCTCTATTTAGTTGTTCATGGTTCATGACAGCAGAATGCATTTCAATTCATTCTATACAAATGGAGCCCAACATTTCAATTCTCTGGTTGTACATGGTGTAGAGTCACACCATTCATGCAATCATACATGTACTAGGGTAATGATGTACATCTCATTCTACTATCTTTCCTACCCCCCATAACCCCTCCCTACCCTTCCCTTTGCCCAATCCAAAGTTCCTCCATTCTTCCCATGTCCCCCACCATCATAGGTCAGCATTCAGTAATCAGAGAAAACATTTGGTTGGCTTTTAGGCCCTTTTTTAAGTTGTAGGAGGACACAATACCTTTATATTATGTGGTGCTGAAGATCAAACTCAGTGTTTCACATGTGCTAGGCAAGTGCTCTACCACCGAGCTAAAACCCCAGCCACTCCCCAGCCTTTTTGATACTTTATGTTGCTGATCTGAAACTTGGGATCCTCCTGCCTCAGCCTTCCGATACACCATTATGGCATGTGCCATGACACCCAGCTCAAACAAGATCTTATGTACTAGAAAGATGATTGATCTGAAATCCCAGCGACTTGGGAGTCTGAGAGGAGGATTGCAAGTTCAAGGCCAGCCTAAGCAATTTAGCAAGGCCCTAAGTAACTTAGTGAGACCGTGTCTCAAAATAAAAAATAAAAAGGATTGGGGAAATAGTTCAATGGTAAAGCATCCCTGGGGTCCAGTACTAAAAAGAAAGAGAGAACATTGAGCCAGGCATGGTGGCACACACCTATAATCCTAGCAACTTGAGAGGCTGAGGCAGGAGGTTCACAAGTTCAAAGTCAATCTGGACAACTCAGAGACCTTGTCTCAAAATTAAAAAATATAAAGGGTTGGGAGTATATCTCAATAGTAGAGTATCCCTGAGCTCAATCCCAGTTCTAAAAGCAAAAAACAAAAACCACACACACACACACACACACACACACACACACACTGGACTGGGAGCCAGAAAACCCAGAGACCTGACTCTGTAGGTGGCTTGACTCGGAGCAAGCCATTCTCCAATTTTGTGCCTCCATAAAGTAAGGGTGACTAGGTTGCCCTGAAGCCTGGCTGACTGTGACACCCTTCCAGTTCCCAAGTTCTAGAACTCCGTTCTCCCTTCTCTCCTTGGCTCAGACTGGCTTGTGTGTGCCGCCCATGAACAGAGCTGTCCCAGAGGAGTTCCTCGCAGGTGGAGACCCAGTGCCCCGAGGCCGCACTCGCCGTTGCCTGTCCGCAGTGGAATCCAGAGAGCAGCCAGAGGAAGAGGAGAAAGAAAATGAGGAGGAAAAGGAAGGACAAAAAAAGGAGGGGAATGGTTTCCATGCTGTACCCCTCCGAAGGTCGGGGGCTTTCCGTGCCCATAGCCACACCTATGACCCCTTCAAAAGACATAGCTGGGAGCCTGGCAGGGAGTTCCAGGACCCCCTGAGCAGGTAAGCATGAAGCCCTCCTCCCTGCCTCCTCCTCCCCACCCTGCGCCTTGAAGAAAGGGGTTGAGAAGAAATATTCTGTGTCCTTACCCGCCCCCCAAAGATCTCCCCAGGGAGACAACTATCCCTGAGGAATGACCTCTAGTCTCCTCCCTGGACAATCAGAGCTCAACTGTGAGCCTTGGGAGGATGGAGCTTGTCTTCCAAAAGGGTACTTTCCCCAGTGGCTCTGGCTCCTCCTTCCTACCTGTTCTCAGGAGCAGGTTAGTGTGGAATGGAGGTGGGGTGAGGATCAAGACACTTGGGTCCCACTTTGGGTTTCCTAGAACCAAACAATAGTGTCAGAGCTGAAAGGAACTCGGAAATCAAATGACCCAATCCCCTCATTTTACAGATGAGGAAACTGAGGCCCAAAGAACTTTAGGATTTAAAAATATATATATATATACATTTGGTTGTTTTTAGATATTCATGACAGTAGAGTATATTTTGACATATCGTACATGGAGTATAACTTCTCATGCTCGTGGTTGTACACGATGTGGATTTGTGGGTTACACTGGTGGTGTACCCACATATGAACATAGGAGAGTTAGTTATGCCTGGTTTTGTTCTACTGTCTCTCCTGTTCCCATGCCCCCTCCCTTCTGTTCTTCCCTCCCGCGCCCCCGCTTGTTGTGTGTTAGCATCCACATATCATTTTTGGGGACTGGCTTATTTCACTTGGCATGAGAGTCTCCAGTTCCATTTAGGATGTTTCTCGAGAGAAGTGGGCTCCGGGTTGGGGCACTGGGCTTGTTCCATTTCCAGTCCTGCTGGTTCCAGGCTGAGGCAGACCCACGGTGTCTCAGGCTGATTTTCAGCTCAGTGCTGCAGCGGGAGCAGCTGCTCTTGCTCAGAGTTCTGCATGTGCTTGAACTGGGGGAGAGGGACCCAACTCTTCCCCCTCCCCTGGAAAATCCCTGACCACTTCCCCAAAAACAGAGGAAGTCAGAAAGAGAAGGCCCCGGGGGTCCGCATGAAGAGTTCAGTGTGAGTGGTCATTGTGGGGGCCTGCTATCCATGGAGGTGCACTGTTCCTCTGCTTTGGCGGTGGTCCCCTTGGACAAGCTCCCTTAGCTTTGGTGAGTGGACCACCTTCTCTAGCTCCTTGGCGCAGCTGGCTGTGGGCTGAGTGGGCAGAGAGCATGCTGGGTCTTGTTCCTGAACTGGTGCGGGTGGGAATTCAGGTGACAAGCAATGCCTGAAAAGCTCATGGCACCTTCCTATGAGCAGAGTTGAAAGCAGAAATGCCCTGGGGACCCCATATGTGGTGCCAGCTGCATTTCAGGGGTTCACAGTGTCAGCCATCTTTTATGATCAGGCATTAATATGGCATATTGGGTGCAGAGGGAAGGGAGCCCTGAGCACACTATTTAGCTGAATAAGGGGAAAGGTTGGCATCAGAAACCAGAGAAGTGCGACTCCAGCTTGCCCTTCCCCTCCCCCCTCCAACACTGACAGGTTTTCTTTAGCGTGCAGTACTACGCTTTGGCCAGCAGGGGCCACCCTTGCCTGCAGCTAGCTCTGCAGTTCTGCCAAAGCAGAGCCCCCAAAGGAACAGCTAGCCCGAGTCTGGGCTGCACCTATGCCAACAGGAAGGGCTGGGCTGGGGGCAAGCAACAGGGCTGGGCTGAGGCAGTTTTCCTCCCTGGTGCCCATCACTGGTCACTGACTACAGAGGGCAGTGGTGGCAATGTGTGTTTCAGGAGCAGACTGCAGGCATCGGAATGCCGAGGCCCCCAGGAAGCCCCCTTACTACAGAGCCAAGAAGAACTGGACACTATTTTGGGATCACAGCAGCAGAGTGGCCAATCCTCCCACCTGGTATGGACAGACAAATCGCCACTGAGGCTCTTGTCTTGCTTTCCACCCCTCCTATGCCCCTGGCCTGTCCGGTCACCACTCTGTGCCTCTTCTGTTCTGCCAGCTGCTGGGTCTCTCTGGGTCCAAGCATTGCTCTGACTTTATCTGACCAAACTGAATCTGTCATCTGTACCCCTCTGTCTGCTTCCCTGGGTCTGTATACTCTGGCCCTGACTCTTAGCGTCCCGCCTCTGTTGCTTTCTCTAAGACTCTCTGTTTCTCCCTTTCTGTGTCTCTGTTAATGTGGATATTTCTGTTCCTCTCTTCTTAAAAGGGCCCTGTTTGCCTAGCTGTTATAACCACTTCTTTCTCTGGGCCCCAATTCCCATGGTTGAAGCTGGACTTGTTATTTGTGGGATGAAACTAGGCATCTAGTACCCTGAAAGATATAAAAGTTCTCCAACAAGATAGCCATGAGTACCGAATGAGAAAGGATATAAACATTGCCCAGCCTTCTGGCTTAAGGGAACATAACTCAGGGTTAGTGTCTCCAACTAGGACCTAAGGACCACTGTGGATACAAAAGAGCTTTGGAGACACCACTGGTTCTGCTAGGTGAGAGTCCCTGAATACATCCCTGAGCTCATCCCTTGACTGGCCAGGCTTTCCAATCCTGGATTCATTTTTGGGGTGCATATGACTTGGAAGAAAAACTGAGAAAAAGAGGCTGTGTACAGCCTGTCTGAGAACTAGAAAGAATCATCTTAACCCATCAGCAGCTTTTTAACCATCTGAATCTCTGCATGCCCCACCCAATCTGCTGCCCCATTTCAGAGATATCGTAGAAAGAATAGGATTTTGGAGTCAAATGACTCCTATATCCTTCATTTTTCTTCTCTCTCTCTCTCTCTTTTTTTAAATTTTTCAGTTGTCAATGGACCTTTATTTATTTACATGTGGTGCCAAGAATCAAACCCAGCACCTCACACATACTAGATAAGTGATCAACCACTGAGCTACTACCCCAGCCCTTTCTCTTTTCTTTTTGAGACAAAGTTTTCCTGTGTTACCTAAGCTGATCTAGAATTCCTGGGTTCAAGCCATGCTCCTGTCTCAGCCTCCTCAGTAGCTGGAACCACAGAGGTATGCCACCATGCCTGGCCAATAAAACTATCTTTTAAGCTTGTAATTATTAAATTTAAAAAATGTCTAGTTGGGCAGGTGATGCACACCTGTAATCCAGCAACTCTGGCGACTGAGGGGAGGATCTCGAGTTTGAGGCCAGCCTGAGCAACTTAGCAAGACCCTGTCTCAAAAGAGAGAGAAAATAAATTAATTAAAAAGGCTGGGAATGTGACTCAGTGGTAGACTGCTTGCCTAGCATACCCCAAATCTTGGGGTTCAATCCCCTGTACTGCCCCCAAACAAAAACAAAAACCTTTTTTTTTTTTGATGCTGAGGATGGAACCCAGGGCCTTGCGCATGGGAGGTAAGCACTCTACCAACTGAGTTACATCCCCAACCCTACAAACAAAAACCTAGTTAAGATGCCATTCTATTGTGCTTTTCTGCTCCCATCTTTAAGCTTATCCTTAATTTTTTTTTTTTGGTGGTGGTAGTGCTGGGGATTGAACCCAGGGCCTTGCGCATGGGAGGTAAGCACCCTACCAACTGAGCCACATCCCCAGCCACCCTTAATATTCTTTGTCTCTCTGTTTGGGTCACTCAGTGACTAAAAGCTTGGGTCACTGAGCTCAGGCCTGGGGCTGCAGACTGTTCATGTGCCAAGTCTTGCTCCAAATTTTATTTTATTTTTTTTTCACTTTTTTTTTTTAATTTTTTATTGTTGGTTGTTCAAAACATTACATAGTTCTTGATATATCATATTTCACAATTTGATTCAAGTGGGTTATGAGCTCCCATTTTTACCCCATATACAGATTGCAGAATCACATCAGTTACACATCCATTGATTTACATATTGCCATACTAGTGTCTGTTGTATTCTGCTGCCTTTCCTATCCTCTACTATCCCCCCTCCCCTCCCCTCCCCTCCCCTCCCCTCTTCTCTCTCTGCCCCCTCTACTGTCATTCATTTCTCCCCCTTCTATTATTTTCCCCTTTCCCCTCACTTCCTCTTGTATGTACTTTTGTATAACCCTGAGGGTCTCCTTCCATTTCCATGCACTTTCCCTTCTCTCTCCCTTTCCCTCCCACCTCTCATCCCTGTTTAATGTTAATCTTCTTCTCATGCTCTTCGTCCCTACTCTGTTCTTAGTTACTCTCCTTATATCAAAGAAGACATTTGGCATTTGTTTTTTAGGGATTGGCTAGCTTCACTTAGCATAATCTGCTCTAATGCCATCCATTTCCCTGCAAATTCCATGATTTTCCAAATTTTATTTTGTTTGGCCACTAAGATGCTTAAACTTTAAAAAATTTTGATGTCTTTAAATGTGCTCTCCAGTTTGTCCAAGTGGCTAATATTTCCTGTTGTATTTTTCCCTTTGTCTTTTTTTTTTAAGAAAGAGAGAGAGAGAGAGAGAGAATTTATGAATATTTATTTTTTAGTTTTCGGTGGACACAACATCTTTGTTTGTATGTGGTGTGTATTGAACCCGGGCAGCACATATGCCAGGCGAGCACACTACCACTTGAGCCACATCCCCAGCCCACCCCTTTGTCTTTTTTAATATACTATTTAAAATGAATCCCCAATAACTCAAACACCTATCTCAAGATCACTAATACTTTTAAATTTGTTTATGTGATCCTCCTGTCTCTTATTTCCCTGTCTCCTGAAAACAATCTTGAATTTATCACTCATTTACCTTAATTTTTACTTTAAAAATTTTTACCTTTTTTTTTTTTCATGGTGCTGGGGATCAAACCCAAGGTCTCACACATACTAAGTCACTGAGCTATTCTCCCAGCCCTTACTAGCCCTTAAAAATTGTTTTAACACAGATATATGCCTTACCTACTAATATATTATGTCTTGTTTTTGAGTTTTATTTTTATTACTTATTTATTGGTACTGGGAATTGAACCTGGGTGCTTAACCACTGAGTCCTATCCCCAGCCCTTTTTATTTTTATTTTGAGACAGGGTCTCATTAAGTTGCTTAGAGCCTTGCTGAATTGCTTAAACTGGTCTTGAACTTTCAATCCTCCTTCCTCAGTTTCCAGAGCCTCTGGGATTGTAGCATGTGCCACCATGCCCAGCAATTTATCAATTTTTTAATGGTGGCTTGGCACAGTGGCACACACCTGTAATCCCAGCAGCTTGGGAGGCATAGGCAGGAGGATTGCAAGTTCAAAGCCAGCCTCAGCAAAAGTAAGGCGCTAAGCAACTCAGTGAGACCCTGTCTCTAATAAAATACAAAATAGGGCTGGGATGTGGCTCAGTGGTCGAGTGCCCCTGAGTTCAATCCCTGGTATCCCCCCAAACTTTTTTATAAGGTTAGTGCATTTTGTTTATGTTTCAGAGATTTTGCCTACCCCAAGAATGTGATGATTTTATCCAGTATTTTCTTCTAGAAGGGTTATTGTTTTAGTCTTTCACATTTTAATGTTTGTTTTTTTCCCATACAAAGACCCAATTGTTCCATTATCATTTCTTTTAAAGACCCTACTTTCCCCAGCAAATGGCTGTGGTTGTGGTACTTTCATTGAAAACCAAACAACTGTATTGATGTGAGTCTATTTCTGGACCTTTTCTATTCCATTGAGCTATTTGCTTCTCTTTATACTAACATGACATTATCATAATTAATATAGCGTTAGTTGAAATCTTCAAAATCGAACAGTGTAAGTCCTCCAACTTTATTATTCTTTTTAGGATCTTGGCTCCCCTAGGTCTTTTGCATTTCATGTAACTTTTAGAATCAGCTTACAAATTTCTTAAAACAAACAAGCAAAAATACCTGCTGGATTTTGATTGAGGGTGCACTGAATTTAAAGAATAATTTAGGGGGCTGAGGATGTGGCTCAAGTGGTAACGTGCTCGCCTGGCATGTGCGGGGCGCTGGGTTCGATCCTCAGCACCACATAAAAATAAAATAAAGATGTTGTGTCCACTGAAAACTGAAAAATAAGTATTAAAAAACTCTCTCTCTCTCTCTCTCTCTCTCTCTCTCTCTCTCTCTCTCTCTCTCTCTCTCTCCCCCCTCCTCTCTCTCTCTCTTTAAAAAAAAAAAAAAAAGGCTGGGGATGTGGCTCAAGTGGTAGCGGCCCGGGTTCAATCCTCAGCAGCACATACAAACAAAGATGTTGTGTCCGCCAAATACTAAAAAATAAATATTAAAATTCTCTCTCTCTCCCTCTCTCTCTAAAAAAAAATAATAATTTAGGGGTTGGGGGATATGGCTCAGTGGTAGACTGCTTGCCTAGCATAAATGAGACCCAAGGGTTGATCCCCAGCCCCCACACACACAAAATATTAATTTAGGATGAATTCACATGTGTGGAAAGAAATCTATTTATTTAGGCTTTTCTAAGAATATGTCTTTTAATAAAATATTGGTTTCTTCATACTCGACTTGCCCATCATTAGATTTATTTATGGGTACTTTTTAGGTTTGCTTGCTATTACAATGCTTTTTTATTTTTGGACTACATTTTATGATTATGTTTGGTTTATAGAAATAGAATTGAAAATTAGTCAATGTACGGTGTCTTTTTTTTTTTTTCCTGCACTGAGGATTAAACCCAGGAATGTTCTACTGAGTTACATCCCCAGCCCTTTTTTATTTTATTTTTGAAATTTTGAGACAGGGTCTCACCAAGTTGTTAAGGCTGGCCTGAATTTCTGATCTTCCTGCCCACCTTCCAGAGTAACTGTGATTATCGGCATGAGCTACAGTTAGCCATCTTCAAATGAACTGCATTTCTTCTTTTCTGCTGAGTAGAAATGGTGATACTGGGCATGCCTGTCTTGTTCCTGATTTTAGAGGGAGAATATCTTAGATTTAACTTTTTGTTATCGTGGTTTTCTTTGTTGCTGGAGATTGAACCCAGGACCTCATGCATGCTAAGCACAATCTCCACTGCTGAGTTATACTCCCAGTCCAGGTTTCTTTGTTGACATTGATTGTGGGGCTGTACTCTTCGAAAGATTCTCTTTATCAGATTAAGGAAGATTCCTTCAATTCCTAATTGCCAAGACTTTCATTTTTAGAAAGAATGAGCGCTGGATTTTATCCTTATGCTTTTCTGCAATTGCTACGATGATTTTATTTTTTTCTCCTTTTAATACGTTATTGAGGTAAATTACAAGTGAAGTTTTTCTCATGTTAAACCACCCTTGTATTCTTAGATAAATGTAATTTTGTTATGACAGGTTGTCTTTTTCTTTCTTTTTTTTGGGGGGGAGGGTGTTACTGGGTATTAAACCCAGGGATGTTCTACCACTGAACTACACCCCTGGCCCATTTTTTTACTTTTTATTTTGAAACAGGAACTCATTAAGTTGCCCAGGCTGTCCTAGAATTTGTGATCCTCATGCCTCAGCCTCCCAAGTTCCTGGGATTACAGGCATGTGCCACTGTGACTGGCTAGATTATCTTTTTTATATACTGCCAGGTTTTATTTGTGGTACTTATATTGCAGTATAATAAACTAACCCCCAATTTAGTGGCTTAGCAAACAACCATTTTGGGCTCCAATTTTATAAGTGGGCAATCTGTCTGGGCTCAGCCGACAGTTCTGTGTGTGTGTGTGGAGGGGTGTGGTACTGAGGATTGAACCCAGAGGAACTCTACCATTAAGCTATATCCACAGCACTTTTTTTTTTCTTTTTTTTCTGAGATAGGGTCTTGCTAAATTACCCAGGCTGGCCTCAAACTTGTGATCCTCTTACTTCCAGAGTTGCTGGGATTATAGGCATGCACCACTATGCCCAACTAGATGACTTCTTAACTTCTTAATAGGAAAAGCTGCAAGTAATCTGTGATCATTAAAATACTACAGTTTCCTAATATTTTGTTTGGGATTTTTGTACTTATGTTTACAAGGAAGATCAGCCCATATTTTCCTTTGCCGTATTATCCATGTGTAATTTTAGATTCAAGTTTATTGTCTTAGAGAGTCGAAGTGCTTCTGTTTGTATTTTTATTTTTTATTTCTATTCTTTGGAAGAATTTCTATAATTCTTCATGTATAACCTGTTAGTGATCTGTTCTGGAAAGATTTGTCCAGAACAGTGTAGCCTGTTGTTGTTTTGTTTTGCTTTTGGAAAATTAACTACTGATTCCCTTTCTTTAATAGGACCATTCAGACTATCTATTTCTTCTTGACTCAATTTTGGTAAGTTATATATCTATTTCTTTCTTTTGGTAAGAATTTGTCTATTTTGTTTGCATTTTCAAAATTGTTAGCAAAAAGTTGTAGGTAATATTCTCTCTCTTTTTTTCCCCCCTGGTGCTGGGATTGAACCCAGGGCCTTGTACATGTGAGGCAAGAACTGTACCAACTGAGCGATCTCCCCAGCCCCTTCTCTCATCTTTTTAATCATTGCTCTTTCTGTACTTAGATCCACCTAGTCATTCTAATTTTATTTATGCCGTCTCTCTTTATCACTCTTTTGTGTTTGTGTATTTTATTTGCCTGTTCCTAAAACACATCTCTTGGTTTTATTGACCCTTTCTAGTTTATCTTTATTTAGTATTTCATTGATTTCTGATTTTCTTTCTTTATTGTGTTGGGCTCAAACTCAGGTTGTGGAGCACTCTAAGCAAAGTTTCTACCACTGAGCTACATCCCCTCCCCAGCCCTTTCGGTATTTTATTTTGAGACATGGTCTCACTAGGATGCTGAGGCTGGCCTTGAATTTGCAGTTCTTCTGCCTCAGCCTTTGGAGTCACTGGGATTACAGGTGTGCACCACTATAGCCTGCACGGTTTTATCTTTATCATATACTTCTCTCAGTTTTCTTTGTGATCTGTTCTTTTTATAACTTAAGTGGGCATAACTCATTACTTTTCAAGCTATTAAAAAATTTCAAGGCTGGGGTTGCGGCTCAGTGGCAGAGCACTTGCCTGGCATGTGTGAGGCAATGGGTTCGATTCTCAGCACCAAATATAAGCAAATGAATAAAATAAAAGCTCATCAACATCTAAAAAAAAATTCAATATGAAATTTTAAGGCCACAAATTGCCTTTGAAATACCACTTGCTATATCCCATGAGTTTTGTTTTATAGTTTATTTTAAAATATTTTTTAGTTATACATGGACACAATATCTTTATTTTGTTTATTTATTTATATGTGGTGCTGAGGATAGAACCCAGTGCCTCACATGTGCGAGGTGAGTGCTCTGCCACTAAGCCACAACCCCAGCCCATTATTTTTATTTTTGTAGAATTTTTTTAAAAATTGTTTTGTTTTAATTGTGGTTCTAAGGATTGAACCCAGGGTCTAGCACATTCTAAGCAAGTGCTCTACCACTGAGCTGCACCCCCAACTCTAGAGTTTTTTTTTTTTTTCTGATTTTACTTAAGGGATTTTTCCCCCCATTGGAAAAAATTTAAATGTAACATAACATAGAAAAATACAGAAAACTTACATGTAGAGTATAGTGAATAATTAGGGAGCAAATACCCATGTAACCACCCCTGGGTTAAAAATGTAAAATTAAAAATAAAAAAACAGATTTCCAATGCTGCAAACACACACACACACACACACACACGTATATAATAACAAGTAAAACAAACAAACAAAAAACATAGATCAGGGGCTGGGATTGTGGCTCAACAGTGGAGCGCTCGCCTAGCACGGCCGGGACCTGGGTTCGATCCTCAGCACCACATAAAAATAAAGGCATTGTGTTGTGTCCATGTACACCTAAAAAAATAAATAAATAATATATATAAAATAAGTAAATAAATATAGATATAAAATAAATAAATAAATATATATATGAAGAATCAATAGTTGGTCTCTTTTAAAATTTATATGAATGTAGTCATACAGTGTATAAATCTTTTGGGTCTTGATTTTTTCAGTCAACATTGTGTTTTCAAGATTCATCCATATTGTGAAATGAACTGTGGTTTGTTTGTTTTTACTTGTCAAATAATATGTAACTATATCACAGATTTTTTTTAAGGTATTGGGGATTCCAAGGGTCCTCTACCAGCGAGCTATATCCCCAGTCCTTTTAATTTTTTTATTTTGACCCTCCTGCCTCAGCCTCCTGAGTCACCGGGATTACAGGCTTATGGCACTGCCACCCGGATATATTACAAATTCTTTAATCCGCTGAAGTGGGACTTCTGGTTATTGCTCTGGGATACATATTATTTGAAATGTGTTAAGATTCGCCTTATGACATAATATGTGGCCAGTTTTTGTAATGCTCCCTGCAGATTTGAGGAAGAATAGAGAAAAGATTGTCTAAAGAACCCACCATCTGTATTTCCTATTTCCTCTTGCCTTAAATCCAGACTGCTCGAGTTTATTTCATTCCCTACCTCGCCCCTATATGTTGAGTTTGTCATCTCTGGAAATCATTCAGAGTCAATATTTTCTCTCCAAAAATGTTTTCTGTATTTGAAAAGCCTGATACCCAATGTGTACATGTATGGAGACATCACACTGCGTAGTATTAACATGCAGACTTATGGTGGGTCAATTTAAAAAAAGAACTGAAGAAGAAAGTCTACGACAGCACAGCGATGACAAGAGAGCAGGAGTAACTTCTGAACTATTTCAGCTGGAATATCCCAGATATGGGTCGTGGAGCCCGGGAGGGTCTGAGTTTGTAGAAATGCCAAGCTGTGGGAAAGGGGAGAACATGCTGGGCGGTGGGTGAAGCTGACCCTTGTATGAGAACTCTTGACATGATTTTAGGGTCGGGATTCCTGTCATCCATCTGCTGGCTCTTTGGATCACTCCGTCACTGGTATGCTTTCCAAGTCTGTATCCATGAGCGCCATCAACTGCCACTCGGAGCGCTCAGATCCAGATGGTAAGTAAAAGAGGGGAGTGAATTAAAGATGGACCCCTCTCTAATCCATCTCATCACTAGTCCTCCGTCGGCTGTTTAGCATCCAGATGTCCTGGATAACCTCCAACCACACCCTTGGAGCCCCCAGAATGTCATTACTCAAATGAGAGATCTTAATTCAGGACTTTGGCATTTTGAGACTCTTCTGCCAATTAGAGGGGACATAGGACAGAGAGAGGCTCTCTAGCCTCCTCTGTCACCAAAAGTGGAGGACAGTTATCTGAAATGTACCTTTTCCTCAAGATGGAGTACTGGGAACTCAGTGTGAATCCTTAGTCCTCCCCAGTCACCAGAAACAGAACTGAAACATCAGGCCCCTCTCCCCCTCTTCTCATAACCCTGGTTCCTAAGTTCTTCAGCTATGCTCTGCTCAGAACCCCGCCCTCCCTCCCTGGTCCCCAGTGCCCGCCCTCAGGAATGGCGTCACATGCACCTGCAGCTTGGGAACCTGATCCAGGTGGAGGGGGTGGGGGAGGCAGCCCTGGGCGCCTTTGTCTGGCTTTAGCTAGACACTCCTCTTCTCCTTCTTTGTTGGCAGGACATTCATCCCAGTACTCTGCCACTGACCTCAGCAAACCGTGAGTTTGGGGACTGGAATCCCTTTGAAGACCAAGATGGGGGAGGAGCGATGGGTCAGGGCCATGGATTCTGTGGCCCCCAGAGTATCTGCTTCCTGACACATACTTCCTTTAACATGTCTGATTACAGATCTACAAATATCCTTCTCCCTGAGATGCATAAAATTTTCCCTCTTCTCTGGGTTCCGATAGCCCCATGGGATGGGGGAGAAATTAGGGAAAGAAAAGGAGTAACCATATCACAGAGTGTCAGCTGGGTAAGAGAGTTTGCTGTTGTCAAAGACATAAAGGTGGATGGGCAGTTGGGCTGTTGGACAGTCAGGGAGAGACAGTGACCAAGGACCAAGGTTGGGCTTTGGGTGGTTCAGGTAATTGACCACTGGGGAGTGGTCCTAAGAGAGCTATGCAAGAGCTGTAGAGCTCCCAGAAGAGGGCAGGGCCTGAAGGCCAGGTTCAAGAACCCAGACAGAGGAAGCCGAGGGATTTCGATAACTATCTAAATAAGCATGTAAAATCAGCACCTGTTCATTTGGCTCCTGTGACTGAAGTCTGAGTGGGACCGTCTTCTAAGACGGTGTGGCTGTGTGAGCGAGTACTGGGCCCTTTAAGATCTCAGACTCTGATTTGTGGTCCTGAAATTCTGCAGCTGACACATCCTCCTGGCTCTGGGTTTGGGATTAGCTCATGGGATGGGGCTGATGAAATCCCAGGAAATTCAGTCCTTATTGGCTTCAGGCCCAGAGGCTCTTTCCAAACAGCACGGGGTCTACACAGGGCTCTTGTTCTGAGGGGGGAAATGCCCCCCTGGAGGGCTCTCTGTCCACTCCACTTCCTTTGGGGAGCAGCATGAGAGCAGGGATTGGGTCCACCCATCCCGAGCCTGGATTAGGTGGGAAGGGGGAGTCTGCATGTATCTGGGAGGAGCCTGGAGTTCTCCTCATAAATAGAGGGGCCTGGAAAACTCGAGTGTCCACATCCGGGAAGCCGTCAGAGGTGTGTGGGGTGCCTTTCCGCCCTCCTCTTTCTCCTTCACCTTCACCCTTCCCCTCGGAGTCTTTCCTCCTATGTCTACCTGCCGGCCGTGGGCCTTCCCTTGCTCTCTCCACCATCTCTCTGGGAGTATGTTGTTTGCTTTCCAGCTCCATCTCCCTCTTCTCACCTCTTCTTTGTCTCTGCAGCTGGAACCAGCTGGAAGGGAACTCGGGGGCCTGGGCAGGCTCCTCCTTGCGAAGGACCTTCAGCTTCCTCTTCCTCATGACGGGCAAGTCAAAGGTAAGAGTTAGAGAGGGACGGGGCCTGGGCTGGTCGCCCTCCCTGTTCCCTTCCTCCTGAGCCCCCCATGTCACCCCTCCCTGGCCCTCCCTATTAGAAATTCAGGACAAGGCTCACATTTTGAGGGAACATATGCTCACTCTTCCAGCCTCTGTGGCTGCGACCCAGCAAATCGCCTTTTCTCTGCTCTACCCCCGCCTCCAGCTTAGCAGGCAGCTGTGGACAGCTGGAAAAAGGGACGAGGGCTCGGAGCCGGGAGCTGAGGCGTGGCATTGCGTTTCCTTACTTTAGGTCTCTTGCGGCTAAGAGGTGGGCAGCAGAAATGTTATGTCCATTATTATTGGACATGATAATGATAATCATTACAGCAAGACTCTGTACTTCTTCGTAGAGTATTAGAGTTTGCGAAGGACTTTTACACTCGTAATTTCATGGGTGGAAATGGCAGCTGAAGGAGTTGAACTAAGACCCTAGTGGGAGGGCAAGCCAGGGAGGTGTATGACTCTGGAGGACATGTGCCTGTGTGGCTGTGTGTGTTCTGATCCTGGTAAGTGAAAGCATATTGCTTTCCTCCTGGTGACCTACCCTCTTCTCTGGAGCCTGCAGCTTGAAATTCATCTCTATTTTCTTTATTGACTGGCAGAAGGAGCCACCTTCCTTTTCTCCCCTAGCCTCCCCAGGTGTACATGTGTTTTCCCAAGCTGGGGTGGCTTCTGGGCACTGAGGAACTCCAGAGAAGAGAAGGACCAGGGGTTTTTCCCACACTAGGGTTGCTTGGACTCCTCCTGGCTCTCCCTGAGGGCCTGGTGCTGCTCCCTGGGCCAGCCTCTGAGCCAGATTCCCTTCCTCTGAGTGGGCTGGGAAAGTAGAGAGAGATGTAAACAGGTCACCTGTTTAGCACCTGGTTAGGAGTTGAGACTGGTGGATTCCCACCAGAGTCTCCTTGAGTTCAGAGGAGGTGAGTCTGCTGGGGGAATCACCGTCTTGTCTTGTCTTTTTTAGTTACAGGTGGACACACTACCTTTATTTATTTATTTTCTATGTGGTGCTGAGGACGGACTCCCATGTGATAGGCGAGCGCTCTACCGCTGACCACAACCCCAGCCCCTCACCCTGTCAGTACTGTGCAGGGCTCAGCTTGGCCCCAGTTGGTCTGTGTGTGCCCCCCCCTTGGCCTAACAGCCATGTAGGAGGCTGAATAACCTAATGAAAGGGAACGTGGGCAGACCGTGGAGCCCAGACAAGCAACAGGAAAGAACCTGAGAAAGCCAGGATACGGTCCCCTCTGGCCTTTCCCCACCAGGGCCTCTGGTCCTGTCTTCCTGTTTCCCTCCCTGCCATGCCTCGGCCCAGCTTCCTTCCAGCCTCTGGGGAACAAGTGCTCCTGCTTCACTTCATCTCCTCCGACTCAGGATGTGGAACAGGGCAGGTAAACATCAGGGGGCAGGGCAGGACAGCAGCTCAGTCAGGCAGTGACCGAAGGGAAGGAAGCAGTTCATTCCCCAGAGGCCACCTCATTTAATTCTTGTGAGAACTTGGAATAGAAGTGAATGATTTTTATTTGTTTGTTTGTTTTCTTGCAGTACTGGGGCTTGAACCCAGGGCACTTTACCACGGAGCCACATCCCACAGGGTCTCACTAAGTTGCCGAGGCTGGCCTTGAACAAAGACAAGTATTTTAATCTCCATTGCGTAGACAGGCTAACCCAGAGCTAAACTACTTGCCCAAGATCCTGCAGCTAGTAAAAGGCGGAGCTCTGACATTGCTGCCTCTGCCCCTCTCTAAAGTAAACCCAACCCAACAGCCTGTCCCCTTCCTTCCATCAGGCTCTGCTGGGGGGCGTCAGTTATGCCTTAATCCCCCCCCCCCCCGCCCTGCCCCATGTAAGAGATCCAGAGTAACAAGAAGAAACAGAGAGCTCTTCTGGCCCCTGCAGGGTCTGGGTCCAGACATCTTCAGGGCTTGCTCTGTCCACCACTGGCCCAGCCTCTGGCAGTTGAGTCCTTCTCCAGGGAAATGGGAGGATATATTTTGTCAAGTTAAATGGGCTAAAGAAGGTGGTGGCAACTTTTAGATTCTAGCAGAAATTTTGATTTTTGTGTGTATAAAAGCTAATTTCTGGAAATCTGAAAGATATCACTGGAGGAGGTGTTAGAATGAAGGAATAGTTTTCAGAAAGGGGTGGAGGGAGAAGGAAAAGTGTTCATTGTTCCGGAGGACACAGGAAATGGACCCTGAGTCAAGCTGCAGACTTAGCTCACGAACGCAGGCACTTTTAAAGGTAGATCAGCTTTCTTTACCTCTTTCCTGCTTCTTCTTCTTTTTTTTTGTACCACGGACTGAACCCAAGGGTGCTTTACACTGAGCCCCATTCCTGGTCCTTTTTTTATGTTTAATTTAGAGACAGGGCCTCACTAAGTTGCTGAGGCTGACTTTGAACTTGCAGTCTTCCTGTCTCAGCCTCCCAAGACACTGGGATTACACGTGTGCACCACTGGCTCATTTTTGTCTTTTTTTTTTTTTTAACCTTTATTTTATTTTTACATGGTGCCAGGGATGGAATCCAGTGCCTCACGCATGCTAGGCAAGCGCCATACCACTGAGCCACAACCCCGGCCCTTCTAAGGGGATAATGAGGAGCAGGGCAACAAAGAGCAAGGAGATAAAAAGAATAATAATAATAGTTGACTATTTTGAGAAAGGGTCTCACTGAAAGGAGACAGAAAAGGATTAGGCTAGCCAGTCTTCTTCCTTCCTTTTCTCTTTCCTTCGTTTTTGGTATTGGAGATTGAACCCCAGGGCACTCTACTACTGATCTACATCCCCATCTTTTTAATTTTATTTTGAGACAAGGTGTTACTAAGTTGTGCCACCATAGGGAACCCAGCTTTTTCTTTCTTTCTTTTTTGTTTTTGTATACCTTATTTTATTTATTTATTTCTATGTGGTGCTGAGGATGGAACCCAGTGCCTCACACATGCCAGGTGAGTGCTCTGCCACTGAGCCCCAGCCCCAACCCAACCAGCCTCTTCTTTCTTTTTTTTCTTTTATTATTTTTGTTTTAGCTGTAGTTGGACACAATACCTTTATTTTATTCACTTTTATGTGGTGCCAAGGATGGAACCCAGCACCTCCCTCGCATGTGCTAGGCGAGCGCTCTACCGCTGAGCCACAACCTCAGCCCCCCCAACCAGCCTCTTCTTTCAATAGACTTTTTATTTTTTCAATTTGTTTTAATTAGTTATACATGACAGTATAATGCATTTATGCACTTTGATATACATATCATACATAGATGGGATATAATTTCTCATTCAATAGGCTTTCTTTCAAATATTTTTTTAGTCATTCACAGACATTTTAATTATTCATTTATTTTTAATGTGGTGCTGAGGATTGAACCCTAACCCTCACACATGCTAGGTAAGTGCTCTACCACTGAGCTACAGCCCCAGCCCTATGTGTGTGTGTGTGTGTGTGTGTGTCTGTGTTGTTGGGGATTGAACCCAGGACCTTGTGCTTGCGAGGCAAGCCCTCTACCAAGTGAGCTATGTCCCCAGCCCCTAGACTTTCTATATTGTGTTTATGTACTGAGAGGTCCCTAAAGAGCCTGGGGTACAGCTGGGCATGGTGTCTCACCCAGGTTATCCCAGTGACTCAGGAGGCTGAGGCAGGAGGATCACAAGTTCAAGGTCAGCCTCTTCGATATCATAAGACTCTTGGCCACTTAGTGAGATCCTGTCTCAAAAGAAAACATAAAAAGGACTGGGGGGCTGGGTTATAACTCAGTGGTAGAGCGCTTGCCTCGCATGTAGCTCAGTGGTGAAGCACCCCTAGGATCAATTTCCCACTACCAAAAGAGACAAAAAAAGAGCCTGGGGTTCAAATCTTAGGCTTATTGGGTACCCAGGTAGAGTTTGGCCCTTTAAGATTCTATCCTCTGCTTGCAGAACCTTCAGCCTGGGAGAAAAGCGAGGTCCTAGTCCAGTCTTGGTCTCTGAGCCCCCAGGGGGTGGAGCCATGAAGCTGGGATTCTGGCCTTTGGCTCCCTGTTTTTAAATTTAGTACATTCCAGAGTCTTGGCTGACCAGAGGGGAGGTAAGCCTGGCGTTCTGGGGCCAGGAACCTCAGGCCTGATGGTTTGGGAGTGTTCTCGCAGCCTTCCCATGGTCTCCCGGCAGGTGCAACCCTGGAGAAAACAGCCCGGGCCCTGAGGAAGCACTTTTTTCTTCCACTTGTCACCCAGCCTGGGCCTATATGGTTTGTTTCCTCTTTTGCCTCCCTTTTGCCCCCATTCTGAGAATGTAATCCAGGCGCCGAGCTGTTTTTTAAAGTTTTGTGACAGGGTCTCGCTAAGTTCCTTGGATGGCCTTTAACTTCTGTCCTCCTGCCTCAGCCTCCCAAGTAGCTAGGAGCACAGGCCTGTGCCCCCAGGCTCGGCCCCTCTCCTTTTTTCCTGCTCTTTGCTATATAAGGATCCTGATCAGGAGAATGGGTGAAGAAGGTGAAGAAGGAGTTGCTAGGCAGGGGGAGAACCAGAGGAGCAGCGTGGGGGTGGTGCTGGGGGTGAAGAGCCCAACCAGCTCAGCCAGCGGTGAGGCAGTGAAGCCCGAAATAGAGGCAGAGGCTAAAATTGGCACCTACAGGAGCGCTGAGTTGGGCTTGAAACCTCCAGCCTGGTCCTACTGAGGAGTCCAGCAGGGAGCTGCTGGACCTGGGCAGGGCCTCCTCTCCCTCCCTCCTCCTCCCACACCAATTGCAAGCGGAATCAGGCAGGACCTTGCAAACATAGTATGCTCTGTCCTAGCGCTCTTTGTTTGTGCTCTGATTTCTACATAGAAGTGGGACACCCCGAGAGGAGGAAATGAACTGCAATATGAGTGATTACAGTTAGACTGGAGGAGGAAAACAGCAGGAAACTCACCGAAGGTGGAGATTGGCACAGGTTGGGGCAATCTTTTTGGTAAGGGGGATTTAATCCAGGGGCACTTTACCACTG